GTTCCAAACCCTAGGGCCCTCAATTACTCACAAAGAAAACTTCATACTTTTGTCTGCACCTGGTAAATAAGAGGCCACTAAAAAAGTTGTTGAAATGAAAATATACCTATACATGGCCAAAATCCTGCCAAAGAATCAGGCCAATTTTAATATGGAATAAGCAATACTACCTGGGTCCAGTTAGCAGGTACAACTATGAATACAAAAAGAAAATTAAAATAGGCAAGATTCAATATTTCTTGATTAACCTGTGTGGAAATTTCAAAGCATTCACGGAAGAATAAAGGCTTGCTGATCTAGGAACTCGGTATTTACACGGTAGTTATAGGTTTACAAATGGGTTAGAGGAAAAAAAACAGTAAAAAGGAAATGAAGTTATAAGAGGTTTTTCTAAGAAAAGAGACTAGAGAGTTCCATTCAGCAATGGACACATGGAGAAAGAGATTTGAGTGGTTTTGAAAAGTCTTTTTGAAGGCAAATAAAATCCAGAAACTATCTAATACTTAGAGGGAGACCACAATATAAATGCTACGTGGCCAATGGATTCTAAGACATACATATTTGTGCCCATTCTAAAGATAGCTGACCCAACAGAATGTGGAAATTAATGGACAATATCACCAACATCACATGCAAGTTAAATTTTGCTAAATATAATTCAAAATCAACTAAAACAGTACATCGACGGAGTATTGCCAAAGGTTCAAGCAGGATTCAGATGAGAATGTGGAACCAGGGATATCATTGCTGATATCAGATGGATCTTGGCTGAAAGCAGAAAATATCAGATAGATGTTTACCTCTGCTTTACTGACTACGCAAAGACTTTCAATTATGAGGATCATGAAAAGTGATAGACAACATTTAGGGACATGGAAGCTCACTTTTTCTTCATTTGTATAATTTTTGCTACAATACAACTATAATCATTACACTCTCTTGAATTCTGTTTTTCTACAGAATCATCAACCTGTATGAGTACTGTGAGCTAGCAGTTCAGAAATGACAGGTACTCTGAGCAGCCCCAAACATACAACTGGCATGCCAAGAGTGTAGTGGGAATCCCCAAATTTGTAGCTGACAGATAAAATGAGGGGAGTCTGAGAACCTTTGAGATTAAAGCTGGTATCTTGAGAGGACAGTGGCAAACCCCAAATTTGTAGCCAGCAGATCAGAAGTGAGGGAGATCTGGGAACCCCAAGGTTATGGCTGGCATCTGGAGTCCTGGGAAGTTTTTGGTAGCATCACAGACTGTGCCTTTTAATTTGTGAGATCTCATTCAGCTCTGGTGGTTAGTTTTAGAAGTGGTTAGTGTCTAGATTTGCAGTTCATGTCAGAACAGAGTTAAACTGGAATGATTGGCTCAGTTTATTCCCAAATCCTCTTACGTGGAAATTAAGTATCTATCCAGACTGAGTTCTAATAAGTAACATTTAAAGTTGTCTTTGTAATAAATACATTTATTTATTTATGCAAAATCTGTTTACTTTCAACAAATACATTATCAGTTTCTGGGAAATTAAGATCTGTAGGAAATGCACAGTATAAACAAAGTTTAACACAGTACTGAGATCAGGTTTTTCCATCACATGAGAGTTTAGGAAAGGTAACACTGATTCAAAAGATTCACTTGAGCAACAGAGCCTGGCACTGTGCTTGAAACCTGCCACCTGCGAGCCAGAACTAAATGGGCAGCTTCTAGAGGTCTGGAGAGACTGGACTTGTTCTTCACTGATTATCCTTCTCTTGAACACAAGGGACAACTTATTTAGCTGATCTAAGCCTTGGTTACTTTGAAACTAAGAGGGATATTAATGACATTTTAGAGCAGAAAAGAACTGCCTGGATTGAAGAGCCAGCTCCCACCTTTAGATGTGGTATGATCATAAGTATGTTTATTTTTATTCCACTGGAAAGGGATGCTAATAGACTTGCAGTGGGGATCAGATGTTAATAGCCTTGCAGTGGGG